TTTGATAAAGGTACCAGTTGGTTTTATTATTACAATGCACACTGGATAAGCAAAAAAAGCCTTGGCATCCCGCGAAAACCAACATCATGACAGTATGAGTCACAGCGTGAGGCTGCATGGAGCGCCGTGCCCCGCCACGCCGCGGGGCGCCACGCCACGCCGCCTGCTCTTATTGCAAAGGGTCACTTCCTGCTCCAACTCAGGCAAAGGATGGAAACAAAACGACTTCCGGGTCTCTGCGGCGCCTCGGAGACGCCTCCACAGCAAAACAATCCAACGTGACCCAAGAGGTGAACTAAGCTAAAACTTTAACAAATCACAGAAGACTAATCATCAATTCAGATCATTTTAATAAACAATTTGAGGCTGTATCAAAATGTAAAAAAAAAAAAACGTTTTTCTGGGAGAAAACTGGCTGGAAATTCAATGTTTTTGTTTTCCTGAATCTCTGGAAAAACCAGGAAAACAAAAGTTGACTTCTGGAGAGACCCAACGTCACGTAGAAAAAAATCAAAGCAAATCAAATGAAACGATCCCTGGTTCAAAGTTTCCGGGTTTCTTGTTCCAGGTTTTAATTGGAGAGGAAAGAGGCGGAGCTGGAATCCTGTGGGAAACCAGTTTAACCAGTAACCAGGAACACACCCGCTCCACATGCAGCCTGAACACCAGGGGGCGCCAGCAGGGTCATCAGGCAGTTACCAGAGCGTCTGACAGTGGGTCAGCAGAGACAGAGCATGTCCAGTAGATGACCGGCTGAGCCGTTAGGGTCACGCTGGGGTCACACTGGGGTCACGCTGGGGTCACGGTGAAGCTGATGGATGTGACATCAGAGCAGGTAAAAACCGACCTCCTCGCCACGAGGCCGGTTCTGTTTCTGAGTCGCTGTCGGTTGCTCTGGTTACCGCCTGCAACCCATCAGGCGGCATGTGGACGGCTTTCTGTCCAAACCGGAGCGTTTCCACACCGACACGGAGCAGCTGGACATTCAATCTGTTTTCTGTCATATTTTGGTTTTTTGATGTGCAAACTGGATGGTCCATGATTGGGACCAGTTCCCACTAGTTCCCACCAGTTCCCACCAGTTCCCACTAGTTCCCACCAGTTCCCATTAGTTCCCACCAGTTCCCATTAGTTCCCACTAGTTCCCACCAGTTCCCATTAGTTCCCACCAGTTCCATTAGTTCCCACTAGTTCCCATTAGTTCCCACCACTTCCCACTAGTTCCCACAGGACTCCAGTCGTTGCTCTTACTGTCTGGTTTCTCCAGTCTCAGAGGACTGGACTGAAAGTTGTGGCTGATTTGTCTTGTAGAAAAACAGGAATAAAAAAATCACCTGTTAATATTTTGGAAGATGATTCTTTCTCTCCCACTTTGCTCCACCAAATAAAAAATCTTCCAGACAAACAGTGAACTTAAAACCAACAAAACAAACGATTATTCATCTCTACCTTGTTATTCTCAGCTAGACTTTGTGAATAAGGATAAAAACCGAGTTAAAAGGCAAACCGTTATGAATCCAAACACACACACACACACACACACACACACACACACACACACACACACACACACACACACACACACACACACACACACACACACACACACACACTCTCGCGGTCTAGGGCTCGAGGTTCTGATGCGTGTCTGGTGACGCTAGCAGGACACAGCGGCTGTTAGGCAACGATTCAGTCCAGTGAAAAATAAAAGTTATCGGGGAAAAAGACAAAAAGTCAGATCCAGTTTTCAAATGTAGAAAAAGCTGAAATGCTGAGAGGAGAGCGGCTCTCCCGGTGGTTTCCTCTGGGTCGAGTCAGCGGCCCGCTGGGATCAGAACGCGGCGGCTACCACAGAACCAGTGGTCCCTCAAAGCCGTAGCAAACCCACCCAGACCATCGCCTCCGTTGTTTTGGAACTTTAGCACCTCTTGACATCACTTCCTGTAAAAGTCCAGACAGAAACAGCAGAACCCAGCGCAGTTCCTGGAGCCTCCCTCCGCCGTGAGGGGAGGGCAGCCGGGCCTTATGGCGGCACGTAGGGGGGCGGCGACCTGTACGGCGTCATGTTCTTTGGACGGGAGCCCTTCCCCTCCTGGGGAGCCGTGAAGGGAGGAGGCGGCTGGTAGGGGGTGCGTTGGGGTCTTCGTCTCGCAGGGCGGTGTACTCCCCCAGCATCTCCTGGTTGAGGGGCGTGGTCTCTGGGCTGGCCATGTTTGGGTACTCGGGGGGCGGCAGCGGCGGCTTCTCTTCCTGCAGAATCAGCGGCATGCTGGAGGAGGGCGGCGGCTTGGAGTCGTCCAGCTCGTCGGCGAAGATGATAGGCACCCCCTTTTTGATGAAGGTGGCCTGATCCTCGATGGTCAGCTTTCCCCGCCGCTTCTTCCTGTAGCAGATCATGGCGATGATCCCCGCAATGAGCAGAATGGCCGCCACCACCACGGCAGGGATCACCGTGTGAAGGTAGACGTCATCAGTGCTGTGGCGGCTCGACCCCAGGCCTGGAGTGACAGCGGAAGGTTCTGGGATGTCGACCTCTGCTGGCGGGATGAAGGAATACGTCCGGCAGCTGGCTCTGCCCCGCACCTTCACCTCCAGCGGAGAGAAGTCCGGCCCCATGTACGTTCTGAACTTTGGTGAGGGTCTTCCGTCGGCGTCTCCCAGCGTCCTGCTCATGTTCCTGAGCTGCTCCTTGGGACACGGCTGCTGCGGCAGGCTGCTGTTGGTCCATTCCACCACGATCGAGCCTTTGCTGATGTTCCTCAGGCTCACTGTGCTGCTGTTGCGGTCGCCCAGAACGTACGCCAGCTTCTTGACCAGCAGGATCTTCTTGTGGATGTTGTTGGTGATGAGCCGTGGCTCTCCTTCGAAGCGGGCTGTGAAAACGACTGGCGTTTTGTCATTGGCAGGCCAGCGGTTCACTTTGACTTCAAACGCGTCGATGGCGTTGCGGCCTCCTTTGTCGGTCGCCTGCATGAAGTACTCGTGCTTCCCGACGTGCTGAACGTCCGGCAGGCCGTACAGCAGCTGGCTGGTGGTGTTGAACTGGATCCAGGACTCCTCTCCAACCACATCCTTGTGGTTCTGTTTCAGAGACAGGCGGAGCTTGTCTGTGGTTCCGTCCTCTTTGTCAAAGAAGGTATCAGACGGGATTTTAACCTCGAAGTACGTTCCCACCAGTGCAACGACCTGATCGATGGGGTTCCTCAGCACCGGCTTCTTGTTGTTTGGGTCGTCGATGACACCAGGCGACGGCGTGCTGGCTGTGGGGGCTTTGGGTGGTGGGCTCTTCGGGGTGGTGCTGGTTGGTTTCCTGGGTGGTTCTTTGGGTGGGATGGTGGGCGTGGCGGTAGCCTCTACAGGGATCTTCCTGGACATGGACGGCTGAATGGAAACGGTGCTGGTGGTGACAACAACCTTGGTCGGCTGAGGCGGGCCAGGGTCGGGGTGTGGGCGATGGGGTCACGGATTCTGATTGTAGGCTTCCCTGGCAGAGGCACAGGGCCCCGAACCGGAGGGGCAGAACTTTCTGTGGGCGCAGCGATGGAGGGAGAGGAGAGAGTCGGGACGATCCTGACCGGAGGTTCAGCCGCCGTGGTTGGAGGAAGAACGGCCAGGACGGGCGTCGGGGTGTTGTTCAGCTGCCTTCTCACTCGCTTTGGGACTTGTGGCTTCTTGTTGGCGATGTGCCATCCCACCACAGGGTACCCCAGCCTGGCAGACATGGATCCGTCTTTAGCTGGACCCTGGACGCTGTTGATGTCTGGAACGGTGGTCCGGTCCAGGAAGCAGCCCAGCTTCCATGACAGAAGAGCTCCGTTCTCCACCACCTGAGAAACAAACACAGCGGTGAAGCTGCTGGGTTTCTGTACGATTCGGCCAATGATTCAATTATCAAAGAGGAGAGAAACAGCAGCTGACCGTTCTGTAACATTATAGCTGCTCTAATGAGACGGATTATTTTTGCAGTTCGATTTCTGCAGCAGCTCCTGAACCCAAGAGAAGCTCTGTGAGAAATATTAGGCTGAGTTTAAGGCCTGCTGATGAACTCCAGTCTTTTAGGACCTGAAAGGTAAATCCTGAGTTTTACTCACTTACACTAAGGAAAAATAGTGTCTTGCAGATATGGCAGCTTGAGTTTTTGTGGTGACAAATCACATTTTTTATGTTTGTGTGGGGAGAACAGATGCATGTGAATTATTTACTAAGATGTTTCAGAAAGTAAAGAAACTGTTTTGGTTTCTGGCTTGTTGATAATCTGGCCAGCTGCTGAAGATGGAAGCAGCAAACTGAAGGCTGGGAGGAGAACCAGATTGTTGCCCTGTTAGCATCGACAGCTAACAGAAGCTCAGAGGTTCATGTGACTGAACCTCTGAACTTCGAAAGAAGAAGAATAAACGCTAAACATATTAATTATGCACAGAAACCAGGAGAAGTTATGAACAAAGTTTAACTTATTGTCCTTTGTTAGCTTACAGCCAACCATCTTTATCTGCTGACCTTCTTGGCGTTTCCTGGCCCGGCCATGAAGGCCGACATGTCGAACAGCCGGTTGTTGACCACTGGCAGCATCTTCATGCCCTGCAGCTCCACGCCTGAGAAGCTCCTCATCCTGTCCAGCAGCTCCACGCGCTGCGCCGAGCTCATCTTGGTCAGATCGGCGTCCAGAATCACCGTCAGGACCGTGACCGGCTCCTCGTTGCTACACAAGAAGAGCTGGACGGGATCGTCCGCCGCCGCGCCGGACAGCGCCGCCGCCGAGTCGCCGTCATCCGGGTGAACCTCGATGGAAAACTCCTCTGAGGATGAGGAAGTGCGGTTGGAGATGGTGACAGAGATGTAGTGGACTCCTTTATCCTCGTCCAGAGGGAGCCCCCGCAGGACGCCGCTGCCGGCGTCCCAGTGCAGCCAGGCGGGCAGCGAGCCTTTCCCAACCTCCGTCACCTGGAGACAAACCAGAGAGCAGCAATGAGCCGCCGGTGTCATCAAGACGGGAGATTCACACTTTGGGTACCACGGCAACTTGGATTAGAGCACAAGTTATCGACTGATAAGTTAAAGTCGACAAATAATTAACTGATAAAACGTCTGTTTCTTTAAGAAGCTCCTGCTCTGTCTGAAGCTCCGCCTCCAGGAAGTGGTCCCAACATGGCTCCTCTATTTCCCAACGCTGCTCTGAGCAGCAGCTCCGATGATGAGCTCAGCTGCTGTTTGCTAGTTGCTGCTGGCTAGTCTGAAGGAGCCGAGAGAGGGAGCAGCTGGAGGGCGGGGCTACGTCCATCCAGGTGATTTTCACAGCTGAACGGTTGCCATGGAGATTACAGGATTTTCAAACATGCATAAAACAATCAAAGCAACGCTCCATGTTTGTTTCTGATGACAATAACAAAAAGATATTTTACGTCATGTTGCCTTTAAAATTCTGGCTTTTCGTTTCTATCAAGAGGGTCGGCCATCTTTCCAAATCATACCCACCAAAATCAGTCAAATTAAATGTGGTGAATTAAAAAAACAAAGAAACAAATCTGAACAATTTCTTGAGTCGGCTGAATTACATCGAGTTTATATTTCAAAACAGAACCGCAGAAATGCATCTGGACTTTGTTTGGACCGTTTCTCCTTCCTGGTTAGTGCTGCCATCTTTGTTTCTGTATGAACTGGCTCAGGTTGAGGAGGCCCAGAGGCGCCCTCTTCTGGATGGTGGCCAAACTACAACTCTGAGCTAATAAACCATGATCAGTTTGTGAACTGGTTCCATCTGCTGTATTTGTACCAGTCAGCTGCTGCGAGAGGCTGAATCAGTCGGCGTTTCGATTCAGGTACCTGGACAAGAAATCCAGTTCGCCCTCCTCTTCCTCACATGCAAATACAAACGCAGAGCTGAATCGTTATTTAAACGCGGCTAAAACTAAAATAAGTCGGTCGATTATGAGGCTGATGAAGAGAAATGGATCACAGGGGAGGGACGATGAAGATAAGCTCAGGAACAAGCGTGACTCCCCCACCCACAAATTAATTCTGTGGCTAATAAATCCCAGTTAATGAATTATGCAGCGAGCTGCTCCCAGGATGCATCATTACAGCGGCAGCAGGACCGCAAGAAGCAAACCGAGAGACGGAGCTCAAGGCTCTCATCCCTGTGGAGACAGCAGGTCCTCTGACGAGACAGGAGACGGGCGTTCACGTCTTCTGCTCCACCCACTGCTCCACCCACTGCTCCATCTGCTGCTCCACCTGCTCCACCTGCTGCTCCACCTGCTGCCCACTGCTCCACCTGCTGCTCCACCCACTCCACCTGCTCCACCCACTGCTCCACCCACTGCTCCACCCACTGCTCCACCTGCTGCTCCACCTGCTGCCCACTGTCCACCCACTGCTCCACCCGCTGCTCCACCTGCTGCTCCACCTGCTCCACCTGCTCCACCTGCTGCCCCGCCGCTGGTTTTAAATCACGAAACAAGAACACAGATTTCATCACCACAACAGAGACGGGACAAAACAGTTTCAAAAGCTGAATTTCAACAAAATCTCCTCTAAACTCCTTTTATTAACCTAAACTCTGTTTAGGTTAATAAGTTTTTCTCATGTCGATGTATGAAGGATTTTTAACTGCAGATTCATTATTTGCTAAAAATGACCAAGGAATGATGAAATATTTATTACTCAGAAAAGAACTGAATCATTAGGAAGGAACTGAATCATTAGGAAGGAACTGAATCATTTGCTTTTTTCCATTTTCTCATGTATTTCCAACATTGTCTAAAACAATGTTATGTAGTGAAATCAGAAATCTGCATAATGTGACTAACAGGTAGGTGGATGAGCCGATGAACCAAGAACATTTCCTAAAAATTCAAAGGTCAAAGGTCAACATTTTGTATAAGCCAAAAGATTTCTCATTGGACTCGGTCCTGAAGGAGGGACGTTTCCATTCAGACTGAGAAAATGATGTCGAGCTCAGAGCCAATCAAATGCAGAGAAGGAGCAGATCCTCTCCTCTGATTGGCTCCAGTTCAACTAGAAAAAGACTTTATTTCCATCGTGAACCTCTGACCTGTGGGAAACGGACCAAACCAACCTGTGGCTCAGGTTCCTCTGCAGGCTGGAAAACAGGAAAACCACTAAACTTTTCCTGTTGGAATCAAAATCAAAATAATTTTATGCAATCAAACTTTTTCTTGTTTCTGTTCCTACATGTGAAATCGTTATGGAAAACGACCAGTGAACCCAGTGATAAATGCTCATCTGGAGTCGAACCCTTTCAACTCCCGGCAGAAACTTCGTCCTTCCTCCTCCTCTCTCAGAGGAAGGTTGGAAAAAGTTTCCAGTCGTTTCCGGCGTAAAGCTTCAGAGGAGCCTGATGTTCGGCTCCACGGGCCGTCAGCTGAGAGAAACCAGCCTCCTGCAGGACGGGTCCGGAAGAAACGGGACAGAACCGTCTCTGGAAAGCTGCTGCAGTCAGAACCCGTCTCTGGAAAGCTGCTGCAGTCAGAACCCGTCTCTGGAAAGCTGCTGCAGTCAGAACCCGTCTCTGGAAAGCTGCTGCAGTCAGAACCCGTCTCTGGAAAGCTGCTGCAGTCAGAACCCGTCTCTGGAAAGCTGCAGCAGTGGCGCAGGGATGGCAAGCGGAGTGAATTTATCCGCCTCGTTCAGGAGCGTTACTGCAGAGGAACTGGCTCTCCATGATGGATTATAATGTCGGGTTTGAAGAATGAACGGCAGGCGGAGCAGCCACATCTGTTTGGCCCCAACTTAAAAGGCTTCATTAAAAGGAAACGAGTGATAATCTCATCAGCTGCAGCTCCTTTCATCATCATGAGCCGCCGTGACTATCAGCAGGCAGGACAGCCAGGAAGCCGCCGCCGTGCAGCAGGCTGGCCTCCAAACCAACCGGCTCCAGGAGCGACAGGCGTGAAACGCAGGGAGACGTTACCGCATCCGGCGGATTCCTCTGCGTGGCCGCCTCCTGGTGGGCGGGGTCAAGGGTTGCACAGTGAGCTCATCATCGTAAAGTTTGACCTGACAGCTTCATATGAGGGCGACATCATTAACGTCAGACTGGAAGCTGCAACAACATGGCGACAGACTTCACTGCTTCAGAGGATTTCACTGCAGAATTTAACCAATCAGTGAGCTGGAGGCCAGAGGCGGCCACTGATTGGCTCTTCAGATGTTTAATAAATCGATCTAAACTGAAAACTCATCAATGTGGAAATTAATCTACCAATAATGTGCTTTGAGTTTGGTCCATTTAGAAAATGTACGGATGAATAAATGAAGTTCCAGACCTCCGCCACCAGGGGGCGGCTGTCCTGAATGCGTTGGAGATGAAGAGCAGGTCACGTGTCTGGAAAGCAGCCAAGGTGGGCGGAGCCAAGATGGCTAACAAAATTAACCCGAGTATTTAATTAAAGTAGTCAAAGTTCATGTTACTTGTTTCCAAACTTATTTAGTTTAATATTTGCTTTTATAATCTGAAACAGCTTCAGTATTTAGAAAAGACTATTATTGGCTGTCTCTGTTTCCTAGCAGCAGGCGGGTCGCGGGTTCGAGTCCCACCCTGCGGTCCGGTCTCCTGTTTGGGTCCCAGCTGGAACCAGAACCGGGCCGTTCAGTTCTGCCATATTTTAATGGCCGCTGCTTCCGCGTGTCTGTGGGCTGCGGTGCGGCGCGCATGCGCAGCCGCCCGTCTGAAGACATGAAAGTTACGACCCGTAATGTCTTCCTCATGTTCGCCGCTCCCAGATTAGATCCATTAATAGTACCGGCCCGTTTTCCTGGAACCGGCTGCGGCTCGGGGAATTTTCCGTCCGGCTCCCGAACCGCTCAGCCGGCACCGCCGTCCTCCGTTTGGACCGGCCCGCAGGAGTTCTGGTTCTGCCCGTTCATTTCCTTCAGTGTAAACAAAAGGAGGAGCAGAAGGTAGTGGTGGCGAGCTGAGCTCTGATTGGCCAGTTCGGCTCGGTTCTGCAGGTTCTGCTCCCACAGTGGGAAAGTTGCTGCCGTGGATTTCAGCCACTAATTTATTTTTAAGAGCAGAAAATGAGCCAGAGGTGGAAACGCTGCTGTGAACATCCACCTGGCAGCGGCTGGCAGCGGCCAGCGCTTCACCTCCATCCCTCCATCATCCCTCCATCATCCCTCCATTCCTCCATCCATCCCTCCATCATCCCTCCATTCCTCTATCCATCCATCCATCATCCCTCCATTCCTCTATCCATCCCTCCATCCATCCCTCCATTCTCTATCCATCACATTTTCCGCTGCATGTCCCTCTGCCAGCTCCTCTTCATCCTCCTAAATATGAGGCTTTTCTAACAATGACCTCCTTTCTCCTCCTTTCTCCTCCAACAATGAGGCTTTCTTCCTCCTCATCTTCTCGATTCCTCCTCATTCTTCCCTCTCTCCTCTCTCCTCCCGGTGATTAAACGTTGCTTTTCCCAGGATCCTCCAGCTGCTGGTTCTCAAACCGTTACTGGGAGGAAGCTGGAGAACCCGGAGACGGAAACATCCTGAACATCCAGATCCCAACCGAACCCCCAGTAAAGACAGAAATCACTTTTTAATGATGTTATTCTGGAGTTAATAAATAAAGCAGCAGGAGGCTCAGATCCGGAGGCGTAGGGGAGGAGGGGGAAGGGTCAGACCGCCACGGTCCAATCGGAGCGGCTGGGACCCGGACCGAGTCAGAACAGGAACATTCAGGGTGAGCCACAACATTTATTCCCAATTCTCATTTTATACAATTCAGAATCGATACACAAAGTCCCCAAATCAATTTTAAATATAAAATGACAAAACGAGTCCACTGTTTGTTGTGACGTCATCAAGCAGCCGGTTCTGGAAGGTTCTGATGAAGCACCGAGGCAAAGAGGGAACTCCAAACATGAAGGAACATTTCAAACTCACGTTGGTTCTGAATTCCCAGGAAGACTGAGCTTCACCGAGGTCAAAGTTCACACGATGAGGAGCAAGGAACAATGGTAGTGGGCGGAGCCAAACCTGGGAGGAGGGTTTCCAGAACCAGTAATGGTTTCCAGAACCAGTAATGGTTTCAACCAGTAATGGTTTCCAGAACCAGTAATGGTTTCCAGAACCAGTAATGGTTTCCAGAACCAGCACATCCAGTTGAATCATGAATGAATGTGGAAGAAAATAATCCGGAACATGTGAGTCCAGCTGCTGCTGTACGTTTAATTACATAGCAACATGGCCGCCAGCGCTGCGGCGCCAGGAACCTCATGGCAGCGTGCTACAGCACCCGGCCCGGCCCGGCCCGGCCCGGCCCGGGACTCATATGTTCTGCTGGGTTTTATCTCCTCCCAGTTCTCCAGTTTTCCGCTCCCGTCCTGCCAGCTGCCAGAGAGGCTGCAGAGCTTCACTGGAAAAACACAACGGTTTGAGATCCGAGCAGCAGAGAGACGACGATTAAAGACCCGGAGAACCAAGCGACGGGTTCTGGAGGAACCGCAAAGCTGCAGTAAGAGCCCAGCAGGGGGAATCAAAAAGTTAAGAACAAAAACAAAAAACAGAAGCTGGAGAGGGAAAAAAACTGAAACAGCTGAGGATTTGAGCAGGTTTTAGTGCCGTCTCAGGGTCCTAGTTAAATCCTGGGGAACTTTTCTAGGGCCAGGTGTGGAATGTAAAATAAAATGCAAAATATAAAAACATTGGCTGTTTTAGAAGCAGTTCCCTGGAAACCAGTTCTTCTGCAGCTTCCTCTGCAGAAGATCCGACAGAACATCTCAGACCAGATCGTGTTTCCATTTCTCAGGAAAAATGAAATTAATGAGGAAAAGGTTTGAAGTTTGGATCAGAACCAAACCCCGACCGACCGTGAAACATCAGACCGTCTGATTAAAAGGGCTGCCATCTGCTAAGCTAACAGCAGGGCTGCTAAGCTAACAGGAGGGCTGCTAAGCTAACAGGAGGGCTGCTAAGCTAACAGGAGGGCTGCTAAGCTAACAGGAGGGCTGCTAAGCTAACAGCAGGGCTGCTAAGCTAACAGGAGGGCTGCTAAGCTAACAGCAGAGCTACTAAGCTAACAGCAGGGCTGCTAAGCTAACAGCAGGGCTGCTAAGCTAACAGGAGGGCTATAGGCTTCCACATTTAGTCCCACTGAAAAGGGGGACTAAATCAGACTGTCTGATCCCCTTTACTCTGACACCACCAAATAAACTCCAGCTGAATTACTGTTGCAGAAGGAGCGCTGCGGCAGCCATCTTTACTGCTGTGGGTCGGAAACCGTTCACACAGAAGTCTGACTGGGGTCTCATTAAACTAGCAGCAAGAACGATCTCGCAAAACCAGTTTGATGTTTTGTAGCTGGAACCTGATGGAGGCTGCAGGTGATGATCAGGAAAACGCCATACAACCAGATAAACGGTGATGCATTCACTGTCCTGGCCTAAAAACCGCCAGCAGAGGCTGAACGTGCAGGCGGGACGGGCGTGCTGCGGGCGGACCCCGCCCCAACCTGAGCTGAGAAATTGATTTGGCCTTTCCCTCTGAAACCCGCCGACCTTCCAGAACAGCTGGGGGGAGGGAGGGGTTCAGAGGGAGGGGTGCAGAGGGAGGGGTGCAGATGGAGGGGTGCAGATGGAGGGGTGCAGAGGGAGGGGTGCAGGACGAGCAATAAAAGATGAGGAAGAGGAGGGGAAGAGAGTATGGAAGGAAAAATAAGGAGAAGAAACTCCCAGCTCTAACCTTTTACAGGAATCTAACCTGTAACCTTCCATTAGACAGTCGGGATGTTTCCCCAAACAGAGACCTTCCTGAGGCCCTGAAGGGCCTCCTGCCCCCCCAGACGCCCCTAACCCCCCCACCCTCCAGCAGAGGGTGTTAGCTGAGCGACCCGCCCCGGAACGAGGGATGAGTGTCAGGACAACAAAACCAGCAGAAACTTTCAGAGCCGCCTGCTGCTGATGGAACGTTTGTTGAGACAAACAGCGTTCCCCACAGAGAGAGTGTGTGTGTGTGTGTGTGTATGTGTGTGTGTGTGTGTGTGTGTATGTGTGTGTGTATGTCTGTGTGTGTGTGTGTCTGTGTGTGTGTGTGTGTGTGTCTGTGTGTGTTGTGTCTGTGTGTGTGTGTATGTCTGTGTGTGTATGTGTGTGTGTCTGTGTGTGTGTGTGTGTGTATGTCTGTGTGTGTGTGTGTGTGTGTGTCTGTGTGTGTCTGTGTGTGTATGTCTGTGTGTGTGTGTGTGTGTGTGTGTGTCTGTGTGTGTATGTCTGTGTGTGTGTGTGTGTCTGTGTGTGTGTGTGTGTCTGTGTGTGTGTGTGTATGTCTGTGTGTGTGTGTGTCTGTGTGTGTGTGGGCAGGGTGCTCCAGCTGCAGGTGAAGGAGGACAGGAAGGACACAGACTTTAATGTTTCCTCCTGAGATTTCATTACAGAAAATCGGCTATTTTGTAAAATGAGCTGCGATTACAGGTGAAATATTTCTGTAAAGGACCACACAGCGCCGATTCCTGCGGCAGGTTTTCAGACAGATGATTCTCCAAGTTCACGAGGAGTGGAGAAGTTTCAGGGACCGGGCCGGTTCTGCCTCAGAGCTCTGAATGGACCTGGAAGGAGAACCAACCGGAGGGGCGAGGAACCTCTTCAGGCCCGGGAACTTCACAGCTCCCCCACAGGAAGATGGAGAGGGTCAGCAGCCTCTCCCTCCAGGACCTGCTGATGGACGGCAGGAAGCCGCACTGCGTCAGGTCCATCAGGTCCATCAGATCCATCAGATCCATCAGGACCATCAGGTCCATCAGATCCATCAGGTCCATCAGGACCATCAGGTCCATCAGGTCCATCAGGTCCATCAGATCCATCAGGACCATCAGGTCCATCAGATCCATCAGGTCCATCAGATCCATCAGATCCATCAGGACCATCGGGTTCATCAGATCCATCAGGTCCATCAGGTCCATCAGATCCATCAGGTCCATCAGATCCATCAGGTCCATCAGGTCCATCAGATCCATCAGGTCCATCAGATCCATCAGGTCCATCAGGTCCATCAGATCCATCAGGACCATCAGGTCCATCAGGTCCATCAGGTCCATCAGGTCCATCAGGACCATCAGGACCATCAGGTTCATCAGATCCATCAGGACCATCAGGACCATCAGATCCATCAAGTCCATCAGGTCCATCAGATCCATCAGGTCCATCAGGACCATCAGGTCCATCAAGTCCATCAGGTCCATCAGATCCATCAGGACCATCAGGACCATCAGGTTCATCAGGTCCATCAGGACCATCAGGACCATCAGATCCATCAGGACCATCAGATCCATCAGATCCATCAGGACCATCAGGACCATCAGGTTCATCAGGACCATCAGGACCATCAGGTTCATCAGGACCATCAGGTCCATCAGATCCATCAGGTCCATCAGGTCCATCAGGTCCATCAGGACCATCAGGTCCATCAGGACCATCAGGTCCATCAGGTCCATCAGGACCATCAGATCCATCAGGTCCATCAGGTCCATCAGGTCCATCAGGACCATCAGGTCCATCAGGTCCATCAGGTCCATCAGGTCCATCAGGACCATCAGGTCCATCAGGTCCATCAGGTCCATCAGATCCATCAGATCCATCAGGTCCATCAGGTCCATCAGATCCATCAGATCCATCAGATCCATCAGATCCATCAGGTCCATCAGGTCCATCAGGTCCATCAGGTCCAACGGCCGACACAAAGAGTCTCCGCTCGGACTCTGATCTACCTTCTTCTCAGCAGAATCCAGAAACTCCTGAGGACTTCCTCAATAAACCAGCTGCAGCTCCTGAACTCATCGTTTATCGGTCATCATACGGTAAGTAGTGCTGCAGCGTTCATCAAGTCCAGAGGACTCCAAAGCTTCATTCACAACCTGATGGTGACAAGCTGCAAAAACACAAACCTTACCAAGTCATTTTGGTACAAATATGTCAGTTAATTTGAAATAAGACAAAACTAACTTGCATGTGACTTTTCAGATTTGTTCTAAATGAACAATTCCTTAATATTGATGAAAAAGTTCTAATTCCGCTGGTAGATTATTTCACTAATAACACTGGAAAAACATGGAGTCTCAGTAGAACCAAAATGACTTGGAGGGATTTGGGTTTTTTTGGCTTGTCGCCGCTGTGGGCCGGCTGACTGAGTGGGAATCGAACCGGCAACCCACCGATTACAGGACAGATTCCAGGATAACCGGCTTCACCTCCTGCTTCAGCATGCATCTTTCCATGCGACGCTTTGTGCTGACTCACCTTGACGATGTCTCCCAGCTGAACAACCTCCATCTTGTTTGGCACCTTGATCTGGAAAACGCGGCCCACCGCCGCTGAGGAGTCTGGGAAAGCTGCGGGCGCGACGGCTTCCTGCCGGCTCGCCGCCAGGCTGCCGAGCTCCGCGGCCTGCCGGCTGTCCATCGCTTCCTGGAAGTCCTGCAGCAGCGAGGAGTGCATGGAGGCCTCCAGGTCGCCGCCCAGCTCCTCGCCGTCTCCGCCCGCCTCCAGCAGCACCAGTCCTCCCAGCATGTCCAGCTCCAGCTCGGCGCGGGCCGCAGGCGGCGTCCAGCCCGCGGCGGCGAGCAGCAGCACCAACAGCCAGACTGTAGTCCTGGGCAGAGTCCCGCCGTGACCTCTGACCCTCCTCAGCCAGCCCGCACCGCCCTCACCGCACATTCTGGGCCTTTTGTCTGCCCGACAGCGAAGCAGAGAGCAGCAGGAGGGAGGATGATGATGATGAGGAAGGAGGGGCGGGCCGCAGGGGAAGCATGCACCCCCAGCAGATCCACCAAATCCGTCCTTCCAAACCCCCCGCCTCCTTTTGTCCTCAGAGCACCGGCGGTCCCATCGGGTCGGAGATCTGGAAGGAGAGGAAGACGAGAGGAAGACGAGAGGTGAGCCGACGATGAAGAACCTCACAGCCAATCCAACCTCAGAAATCTGGCTGATAAAAATCCATCCTGCACCGGAGCGCCGGGAGTAATCTGATTAGTTCAGCTCCGGTTTGGGGAATAAAGGATGAAAGATGGAGAGATGAAGGAGGGGGAGGTGACTTAACCAACAATGGCCAACCAGCCGGGGCTTTCTGGGGGAGCCCAATGAATGCATGCCTTCTCCATTGTGAGGTCAAACCGAGTGTGTGTTGCAGGCCTGAACTCAGATCCCCTCCTGACTGAGTGTGTGTTGGAACAAAAGGCCTCAGGGAGTGAAAGAAAGCAGAGAAGACGGGTGGGAAAGAGGGAGAGTCCCGCTGTGATTCCACTTTGTCCCGTCAGAGAAAGTGCATTCTCTGCAGGAGCCTCCTAGCAACAACACGTCGCCTCCCACCAAACTTTGCTTTCAATCCTTTAAAGCTGCTAAAAACACTTTTCCATCAGCGAAAAGTCCAGACGCAGCCTTCTCCGTTCTGCAGCCAGCTTTTCATCCTGCTGCTCTGGTCGTTGCCTCACCTCTCCAGATCTGCATATGTAATTTTTAATAACTACAGTATTAACTACAGTGTACTGTAAATTAGTAACACCTTATTAAAACCTCAGCGAGAAAACAGATGCTTCTATTTATCTTTAATTTCCCATCTCTGGGACAATAAACAATATTTAATTATTAATCTATTCTGTCCTTTCCTGTCACCATGAAAAACAATGCAGGTCAGATTTATGACTTCTTGTCACCATAAACTGAACTGTGCTTTTCCATCAACATCAACCTTTAATCCATCAGAGAAAATGATTCAGACGTTTTGTTTGGGTTTATATCTGCAGCCGTGTGATTATGAGGCTCTGATAAACTTTTGTTATTGTTGCAATAAATAACCTTAATAATGCAAAAATACTGAAATGTTTAGCAAATGTTATAAAATAAGTTCCAACAGAACACATCAGCCTCACTGACATCTGATAAAACAGACGCTAACAGATGCTAACAGACATCAACAGATGCTAACAGATGCTAACAGACGCTAACAGATGCTGACAGATGCTAACAGACACCAACAGACGCTAACAGACGCTAACAGATGCTAACAGACACCAACAGACGCTAACAGATGCTAACAGACGCTAACAGATGCTAACAGACACCAACAGACGCTAACAGATGCTAACAGATGCTAACAGATGCTAACAGACACCAACAGACGCTAACAGACGCTAACAGATGCTAACAGACACCAACAGACGCTAACAGATGCTAATGGATGCTAACAGACACCAACAGATGCTAATGATATGGTGGAGATATGTTTGTTTCTTCTGAATGTGAATGAATCAGGGATGTATTTTCTATTGTTAAATCATTGTTATCATTAGCTTTAGCCTGTGGCTAGCCAGTCACCAAACTGGTCCCAGTTTGACCAGCAGACTGAATCCCTGTCTGTCTCTGTGTTGCCTGTATAATATGAACTATTAGGGTATTAAGAGAATTTATGAGGAAAATTGAAAATAATTTAGTCTGTTAGATTTTGTTCACACTGCTGTCTATAGAACAGCTGACATATTACATATTACACAAAACAGTACAAATATGTAGCTAAAGTTTGACAACTATCATCAAAGTTTGTTTTTACACTAAAATGCATAAAACCTGAAATGAAGTCATGTTTTTTGTTCATATCTTCAATAGATGCACATTGGATTATGAAATTGTGTTAATATGTTTGTGAGTCCATCACTGTAGAGGTGTGAAGCCACTTTCAATATGGCCGACGCGAGAGCGCATCGCAACAACAATCACTTCCGGCTCAAAAGCACCGTCGTCCAATCAGCGATCTCAGGTCTCCAACTGGGACACTCTTTCCGTTTTCATAATGTTGTGGTGTTGTTGTCATTTACAGTTGTGCTACATTAATATTAAAGTGGTTTACAGCTCAGGGCCACCGTACAGCAGAGAGAACAGAACCGATCAAACAAAACAGAACCGATCAAACAAAACGGAACCGATCAAACAAAACAGAACCGATCAAACAAAACGGAACCGATCAAACAAAACAGAACCGATCAAACAAAACAGAACCGATCAAACAAAACGGAACCGATCAAACAAAACGGAACCGATCAAACAAAACGGAACCGATCAAACAAAACAGAACCGATCAAACAAAACGGAACCGATCAAACAAAACGGAACCGATCAAACAAAACGGAACCGATCAAACAAAACGGAACCGATCAAACAAAACAGAACCGATCAAACAAAACGGAACCGATCAAACAAACGGAACCGATCAAACAAAACAGAACCGATCAAACAAAACGGAACCGATCAAACAAAACAGAACCGATCAAACAAAACAGAACCGATCAAACAAAACAGAAATGTATCAATCTCGAGATTAACTGAAGATAATGAGAAGTGTAAAAAAGGTCAACTCTTCCCGTGGTCCAGTTCTCACCAGCAGAACCAAGACTGCAGCGGCTCCAGCAATGACAAACTTCTGAACCCAGCGGGTTTTGACCAGAAACCAGCCGGTTCTGCTGGTCTCTCTGGTTCGACCTTTTAGGAGTTATTGTATGTGGGGTTGTGAGTTTAATGTGAAAGAGGCTCTGCTCTATTTTTAAACGCCAACTGTGATGCGGCCGGTCAGCGGTGCTTGGACTGGGCCACAGGGAGCGGGTCGGGTTCAGAACACTATGTGAAAACTGCTGAGTGGATCTAAAGATAGAAAGCTGCAGATGCATTTCCTATTTGGTGTGAATGACAAGGCAGCTGCTCCTGGCGCCGCATCAGAGCGCGACTCAGACGGCGTCCGCATCCCGACCCAAATAATAATTACGGCCGTGTGACCCGTCCAGAAATACTGGAGCAGCAGCAAAGAGACGGAAACACGCAGATCAACGTCCGAGAGCAGAATCCAGGTTCTGGACAGGAAAAACCTCAGAGGCCCTAAAATACTGCAGAACAAAACTAAATCACACAAACAAGGGAAAGTCTGCAGTCATCAAGACCCAACCCGGTTTGGGTTTTAGTTCCTCCTTCAGAAAATCCGAAACGGCTCAGCGTGTCAGAACTGAACCTGGAAGAAAGTTTTAATCTCAGCAAGAGGTTCTGATTCTGATGGGCTTGTGGAGATGAGAACCCGGGCTGAAACTGAGCCCGTTTCAGACAAACTGGATCCAGAAGGTGTGAAAGTTCCTGTCTGGACCTGAACCGGAGTGTCAGCTGGAATTTCCCCAGCAGCCAATGAGACGCAGCAGAACCAGCCAGGAGCCAATAATAGTGACAGATTCCCACCTGGGCCCATCAGACGGAGAGACGCCTGGCAGAACCGGGTCGGTTCTGTAGTAATGGACCGCTGGCCGCCAGCGACGCATTTCCTCTGGAGGGAAGCAGGATTACACCGTTTACCTGCACAATGAGATTTAGGTGTTCAGCCCTCAGATTAGACTCGGTGTTGGTGTTCAGGGTAAACAGATTACTGCTGCTCTTGGAGGGAAGAAGTCCGGATTGTTCCGAGTCTTTGTGCCGGTTCCGACCTCGTTATCAGCTGTGACCTCTGAGCGAACGATCTACGCTGCCTCCAAAAATCCTTCAACTGAATTCAGATTAATCTGCTCCCGCTCTTAATTACTCCTGTAATTAGCTCGGCTGCAGTTGGATCGGGACGGAGCGATGCGCCGCCAGAAAGGCAATCAATCACCGGGCAATCCACCGTCTAGTCCAAGGCCGAGCCGGCGCTAGCTGCCGCTGCGCTGGGCCATATGTGTGAACATAAGGTGGCAGGCAGAGCCAGCGCCATGCAACACTGAAACTCTTCCAATGAATTAAAAAGCATGTTGAGCGGAGGAGGAAGTCCAACTGGGCCGCGTTTCTAAAGACAGGATGACTGCAGAACATTTAAACCCGGTTCCAGATGAAAGCAGCAATGAGTCAGAGCAGCAAAGTAGGTCAAATATGGAGGAACCCAGGATTTACTGGACTTTACAGGACAAAACATGGAGATGCATAAAAAGAGGCGATTAAAGGAAAACAGATCAATATTTATAGAAATGATTCCTGAATCACAACGATTTCTCCAAAACTGAAACTCATTTTTTGATATTGATGTTATTGACAGTGTTTATTTAAATCTGATCATAGAGACGATTTTCCCCAATCAGAAAGAACTGATGACAGGACCGAGGCGGCTGCATCATGCTGTGGGGCTGTTAGTGGAGCAGCATTCGCCACAGAGAGTCCGTGATCAGAACCCCGGCTGAGGAACGGGAGGGAACCGCCGCGACGTCGGATCCCGATCCGGACCGTCGGACTCTCCAGACGCGTTTATAGGAAGACAAACGGCAGAATGACGATTTGGAGAAAAACTGGTGAGAAAACTGACCTGAAAATGGTTTTCCATCAAAAACATCAGACTTCCTGACAGCTTTCAGCTGGAAACTAGAAACTTCATGGGATCTGGAGTTGGGATGAGTTCTGATCCGAGTCACTTCAACAGAACCTTCAGAAACAACAACATCTGACCGAACATCTGCAGACGTTTCCGGCTGCCCCCTGGCCGCCCCCCGGCCGCCCCCGGCCGCTCCCCGGCCGCTCCCCCGGCCGCTCGCTGGGAGCAGGGCGAGTCAGGAACGTCGGCACAGCAGGAACTCCAGAGGTGACCCTCTGTTGGGCCACTCCTGGATGAAAACACGAAACCCGGCGGGAGGCGGCGCGGCGCCGTCACATCGGTGACAGGAAGCAGGACAGAGGCGGAGCGGCGACCTCTGACCTCCCGGCTTCCATCAACACGGAGCGGGACGGATTACAGCTCCGGAGCTACACAAGCAGACGACCTGCAGCGCCTGGAACGCCTCGTCTCCACAAACAAGATCATCTGTGGAACCATCCAGAGAGGAAAACGGGCCCCACCGAGCGCCAGACATCCGG